TGCCGTGGTGAGGCCTAGTCCCGTGCAGAGCCTCCGACCTTGCCTAGATTGCCCAGCCGGCCGAGGTGGCACCTTGGCAGGCTGGGCCCACGAGACGAACATAAACCTTGAAGGCTGAGATCAATTCACAGGTAAACATTATCACATTTGAGCTGGTAGATACTAGCTGTGGTTGCGATGCAACAACCCTGCGGATGGAATCGCTGATACGCTTCTGCTGCCGTCTGAAACGCACTTCCTATATTAGGAGGCCACTGGAACTATGCACTTTTAAAGCTAAATTTAAAACGAATTTCTTTATAACTTATTTTTGTCTTTACTCGGTTGTATTTCCCCCTGCACCTGCGATTAGCATGATTGGCTATGCACAATGCGAAAAAAGTTGAACATGCATACAAACGTATAAGAAGAAAATTCCAAAGTTGAGCATTGCAAGGGAAAAATCAGAAATCTAAGTGCTTGAACCTGTGGATGAACTGTATGGATGAGACAAAACATTGAGTCTGGTAAAGAGAATCTTCAACGTGAGTGGATTAATCAACGAGTGACGTGCATGGTGATAGTAACAATAGCAGTATTACTATTGTTTCAATATTCCTCCTGATTGTGCTACCAATATAATGCAACGAGATGTGGTATCCTTTGGGGTCGAGAGCAGTAATGCCCTTCGTGTTGGAGAGCGGCCCACGGAAGTAATATCATGGTGAAATAATTTAGATCCCTTAAGTGGCCTCTGTTCTACACAAAGAAAAAAGCAGCACTTCCTACTTGCTCTACACATGGGAGTGAGGTATCTCACATGACAGTCAAAGAGAGGTTGTAATTTCAGCTGGAATCTAGAAAAAGGTCCGGAACCAAATTTTATAGAATGGTTATTTTATGCAATCATTGGTAACTGGACTGAGACCATCAGCTCACTCTACTTGAGGACCCGGTTTAACCACAGGCAGTCGACAGTGATTTGACGTTCACTGTTCACTTCAGGCGCTTGGCCAAACGGTTCCTCTGTCAGCTTCAACAATTTTTGCACTGTCCGTCATAATAATAATAGTACAATTTGTAACGCGCGCAAATTTGCAGACGCAGTGGCCGCAACTCAGAGGCGCGGAGCCAAGCTCAGAGTCGCTCAAAAGCATGATTGTAGAGGTGAGTTTTTAAGTGTCTCTTGAAGTAGGCGATTGAGGTGATGCTGCGAATGTGCAGAGGGATATCGTTCCAGACTGTTGGGGCTGCCACCGAGAAGCGGCGCGTAGACATGACCATCCTGGATCTTGGTATTGAGAGGAGGTCGTGAGTCGCGCTGCGCAGGCATCTGCCGTGTGCTGAGCTGCAAGTTGTCAGTAATGAAGAAAGATACGGCGGGCAGGCGGATATGAAGGCATTGTGGCAGAGGCAGGCGGTCTTGTATGTGACCCTACTGGCAATGGGGAGCCAGTTGAGAGCGCGGAGACGAGCTAGTGAGTCGAGGCGGGGATGAGTGTGGGCAATGACGACGCGTGCTAGGTTATTTTGTAGTCTTTGAAGCTTCCTTAGGTTGCCAGCGGAGGTCCGGACAAGGACGGAGTTACAATAGTCAAGGCGAGACCCAACTATGCAACATGCCAAAGTGTTGGCAATTTCAGTAGAGATGAGAGGACGTATGTGTCTAAGAGCCTTCAGGTGAAAGTTACATGAGCTGATGATATGGTTGGTTTGACGGTCGAAGGATAAAGTTGAATCTAGGATGACACCGAGGTAGCTGAAGTGGTTGGTGAACTTGATGCTATGACCGAAGATGTGTATGTGTGTGGGGAGTGCTGCTGAATTGAGACGTTGCTTGGTACCTAACATGATGGCCACTGACTTTTTCGGATTAAGGGCTAGGTTGTGTGCAGTGAACCATTGTTGCACGGCGGTGGTACATTCCGAGAGCCTCTCGAATCCAGATGCATTGCTAGAATCGATGGCGGTGAATAGAATCGTGTCATCCGCGTATGAGTGATGCTTAACACCGAAGCTTGCAATGAGTCGGCCGATCGGGGAAGTGTAGGCTGTGAAGAGCAGGGGACCTAGAACAGAGCCCTGGGGAACCCCGCATAATGCTCTTGTTTCAGGCGATGTGGACATGCCCACCCTGACTGAGGATTGCCGGTCAGAAAGGTACGAAGCTATCCACTTGAGTGCTGAGCCGCATATACCGAAGTCGGATTTCAGGAGGGAAGTAAGGAGCGAATGGTTGATGGTGTCGAAGGCTGACGAAATGTCCAGACTTACAAGTGCAACAGTTGAGCCGGAATCAACGATCGTTAAAATGTCATCGAGCACCCTAGTGAGTGCTGTTTCTGTGGAATAGTTTTGACGGTAAGCTGACTGGAAGTTGCAGTAGTTTGCGGAGGAGGTGACGTGTGGTTGTAGCACTGACAATCGAAACAGCTAGGATACTAGTCCATGTATTCGTCATTAGTCACTTGTATTACTGCAGCAGCATCTTCGGCTGCACCAGCGCTGTGCATCTGCTTCCTTTCCAGTCACTTTTGAATGATGTGACTCGCTCGATGGTTCATAAGTGGAAATTTGATCCAATTATGACCTCGATACGAAACGAGTTACTTTGGTTATCTATCAAACATAGGGGTATGCTTACTCCTCTACAATAGCCTGCATTCATCTGCTCCATCCTCTCTTGCCAAGCAGTGTGCAGTACGAGCCTCAATCGACCCCAATCGATACTGTCTATGATCTGCAGCCCATGGTAATCTGATCGAGCCACACGCAAACTTCGTGTCGTACGGGCAGTGCAGTTTTCAGGATCTCATACAGCAGCCTGCATTCCAACCCAGGACTCAATGGTGCCAGCTCAGAGTTCTGATATATCAGCCACCTAGGTAATAGCGATGTAAGAGTGATCAGCAGGTGACTAGCCAGCGAGTGAGTGAATGAGCACTGGATCACCAATAAACCTAATAAACTCAGTGAGCGTTGCTGTGGAGTAATGCAGGTATTCGAAAATATAAACAGAACTCTGTTATTTCTCCATACATAAACAATCTATTCTTTACTCTTTGGTTCTTTCGGTCAACTCACGTAGGTATAATATAAAATAAATCACGAGGTTTCGGGCGAAACACAAGCGTCCGTCATCAGGTGGGAAAGCATGGTCTGCTGATGAGGCAGACCGTGTTTTAAAACATGCTTTCCCACCTGATGACGGACGCTTGTGTTGCGCCCGAAACGTCGTGATGTATTTGATTTTATACCTACGTGACTTTACCGAAAGAACCAAAGAGTATGGATTCCTGCAGTCACGAAAACTTCAAATCAAAATCTATTCTTTAGTCTGATCCATAAAAAATAGGAATGCTTTACATTTAATTATTTCAAGCACCGTGAGCTCAGAACTGGGTACTCTATCGCATATTTGACAACAGTATTCCTACTTCAGCCAAATGTGGGCTCATGTAAATTTCGATTTAAAGCTTTCGTGACTGCAGGGATTCATCTTCTTGGTTCTTTCGGTAAAGTCACGTAGAAGGGAAATAATAAAATTATAAAAATAAAACAAAATAGAATAATTCTCACGATGTTTCGGCCACAACGCAAGCAGCCGTCCTCAGGTGAAGAACAGGTCTGTCGGGAAGACAGCGTCGGAATGGAACTCCCCAGGCTTGGAGTGTATATTTAAGCTGGGTTGGAGGGGGGAAGAGCGCCTTGACAAAATAATTTGCATATCAAGAGGAATTTAGCATATTTATGGGAAATGCAGTTATGGGATTAGTCACTACTTGTGAAATGCGTAGGAGGTGGGCGGGGGGTTTCAAAGTCATATTATGCCCGTGCATTATGCAGGATTAGCAGCATCAAAGGGAGGGGATAGGGGTAGCATTAATAAAGGGAAGGAATGTTAATAGTATGTAGCTGCAGTAACTAAACCACCACGTAAAAAACTAAAGTATAAACTACATAGTATCATCAGTATACTAAGAGAGTATATTTAATATCAGAATGCAAACAAAAAACATACTCTGATAATAAACCTTATGTTTGTCTTGGTGTGTCTTGCTCGGTGTGTCTTTTTCCACCTGATGACAAGAGTGTATAGTACAGGGTAGCAGTGGACAAGAGTGTAGCAGTGGACAAGAGTGTATAGTATAGGGTAGCAGTGGACAAGAGTGTATAGTATAGGGTCGCAGTGGACAAAAGTGTATAGTATAGGGTAGCAGTGGACAAGAGTGTATAGTATAAGGTAGCGGTGGACAAGAGTGTATGGTATGAGATAGCAGTGGACCAAGAGAATACAGTATACGGTAGCAGTGGAGAGAGAGTACGGACGGAGGTAGCAAGGACGGAGCGAGTAGAGCGTAGGAAGCAGCGGAGTAACGGACCTTGGTGGAGAGAGAGAAAGCGAGCGAAGCGGCGGAGCGGAGCGAGCGAACGGAGGGACATCGAGTGGGGCTGATGGAGAATTGTGCATTGAAGAGTATGGAGGAACGTTGAGCGATGCTGTCGGAGATGTGAACTATATGCGAAATAAAAGGAACGAGAAAGACAAAGAAGTTGTCGCGTCAGTAAGAGTCCTACACATATACATAGAAAACTGAATGAAAAAATACATGTTTTCACAAGCTATTGGCTGTTGTGCTAAGTGCCATATAATAATAATTGAGAGCTCTTTGTAAAACTTTTACTGTCGATGATGACCTCCCCATTCCGTGTGGGTCGAGCTGATTGTTATAATATAATTCACCATGCTGGAACGGTGCACGTTAGTCAACGGAAGATATCCATAATATATTAATATATCACTCACTAGTGATATTAGTTGTGTGGTCGGGAATAGAACTTTAGGTCACTAGGATTCATTACGCATTGCCTTGAAAACTAAGCCACCTCCTCCAAGTTTTCATGCTATTTAACGGTCACCGATTAAAGCCAGCATAGCATACACTTCGCCCACTCACAATCACATTGCGTCTGCTCAAAGTGTGCACACAAAACACAATCCAGAGCCACGCTTGCATTACCTGCAGAGTTCATCATTCACGGGCGATGGAATGAAGTTGATAGTTTTCGCCTTGCCTTTATACCGTTCGTTCCTCTTTAAGGTTTGGCCGCAGGGAGGTTAAAAATATGCTTGTTGATCATGGTTTTGTAATGTCGTGACCACTGCAGTGGCATCGTGTGTGAGCCCTCATCTCTCGAGATCATTCTCAAGGTGTCGCATGTGATGGCCTATCAAGGGGATGTATATTTGTGGAGACTTTAATTATAAACGTGTGAAATAGGAAACTTTGGGGATTTTTAATTATCACGCTTGCAGACTAACTTACATAGTGTGCTCTGGGTCTGGTCGCTTCATGTTATATACAAGGAAGAAAACCAATGCATTGCCATGACATTTTTAATGCTTTCCAACATGCGTTTGTCCTCGAAGATAATGTTTTTTTTCAGTGCCTATTGATTTCTATAAGATATGGTTTAGAAACATGGACATTAATAATTTGAAATATTTTTTTACGAAAAGAATAAGAGATTTACGCTTGGAATTATAAAATAACATTATTTCAAACATTTAAATTAATAATAGATTTTTGGTCCAGATCGCATAATTAAACTGTGTCATGCACCTTATTCCACTTTACACAACATATTAATGAAGTTAAGTGAACAAACCTGCTTCAGCCACGCCATCTGTATATTGGATAGGAATCCATAAAATTAAACAATTGGATACGAGGTTTCTCTGGTTGTTGATTACAAAGGCCTACGTGTCAAATCATAGACTTTAAAAAAACTCATCACAGTAGAAATATTAAAGCAGGCTGGAAACAAATGAATTAAATAAAACACAAATGCCATGCAATGCGTGTATAATAGCATTCAGCCTTATTTAAACATACTCTTTGGTTTTTTCGGTAAAGTCACGTAGGTAAAAAAATTAAGCATTATTGAGCCTTATTAAAAACACCAGCTCAAATAACTGAATGTGTGGCCTTGTTTAGAACTGCCAACAGGCAACAGTGAGACAAAGGCACAACTGTGGACTGTTTTTATCCTCATTGGGACTCATCAGAACAGTCAGCAGTATTTGCAGCATGCAGTTCGCTCTTTGATATAACAGCATGATGTGCACTCTGTAAAATAACAGGGATGCTTTGTGAATTGTAAAATCAAATCTGACAATGTGAAATGTTACTTGCACCTGATTGATACTATGCAATCGTAGTGTGCTCTGTCTTCGGCGATTTAACCCTTTATACTGTGTCCTGGAACATTTCAGTACCCTCTGTGTATTGTTATGTAACGCATGGACAGAAAAGGAACCTGGGATTACAGTCCTCAAACGATTCTAACGAGAAGCTTGCAGTCACTACTACATCAACAGAGGGGAAAGAAATAGCAGACAACGGGTCGACCTCTGCGACTTGGTCGCGAAATAAATGACAATACATGACAAGCTAGGGGATGCTGAGTTGTATTGGTCATGGCGGGTGACTACTGGCATTGACACGCCTGCTCAAAGCATTTACATGTAGGTGCGAGAGGCTAGCTAAATGGCCGATGTGTATGCAGGGGTAAAAACCTCTAATCCGCGAACACTTCAACTAGGTTCTAACCCCGCTTGCGGTCTACCTGCCCGATTTCCCGAAATTCTACAGAGTGCAATAATTCAAGCCACTGAACATGCATCGCAACCACACCCGGTGCCTGTGCTGTGCACTACTCCACGTTTCCACGCTATCCGATCACTCCTCATAGCACAATGTCCCAGCCCACAAAGTGGTGACCACTACGCGTGACCTAACCAATGCCCTTCGGCTGTTCATTGTGCCTTGGAGCTACTTAAGGTGCATTACAACTACGGATTGCACTTTCAAGTTTATTTTGTTTAACTAGGTGAGAACTCAAAATACTGAGGAGACCGTCTCATTTGCAAGTACAACCTGGGTCACCAAAGTGACATAAGCAAAAACAAACAAAATAAAGTACAGCAACGAGGCAAATAGAACTCAGCAAAAACAAATATGTCATATGAGTGATCGAAAGTATTGCACGAACAAAAAACATTATACAGGGTGCTTCAAACATTTTTTAACACTTCCGAGAATTTGCAACAATATCACAAGAAATGTGCTTCCAGGCTCTGGAGACCACCTGGAGAAGATTCCAGGCATGTGCTGACAATGATGGCGAACAAGTGGAGACTCTTTGACTTTTTGAAGCTATTAACATACACTTGTTATCATGTCACAGTGCATTTATTATCCGTTCTTTTTCCATTAAAAACGATCGCCCCATATAAGTGTTAACATTTTTTGACGCACCCTGTATAAGATATTCTCCGTAGTGTAAGTTGCTTTGGGGAGATTATGTTTAGACAGATCACAGCTCAATCAAAGTAAGTTACATAAACAGTACATACATACAGGGTAACTATTGCACTTTATATGTAAACAGACCAACACATTTGTGGAATGAAATTTTAAGTGACGTTATCATAAAGAGTCGACAACTTAGAATCAAATTGTGGTTATTATGGGAGTGTAACCAAGTACATTTTTGAAGCGATGACATTTCAGGTAGCTGGGTTGTTAATGGAGAATTAGTGAAAATCATCACCACAATGAATTTTAATGCTGTGGGCATCTAAAGCTTCAAGGGGTTTGGCCCTGAAACACATTCCTGCGGAGGGAGCTTGTAGGAACGGTGGGTTTCTCGGTCAATGGCCAGGGTCAACGGCGGGGTGGTGTATTCCGCAAATATGCCCGACTGTGAAGGCGGGCACAAGCCGGCGTGAATAGGTTAAACGTTGAGTTTTATAAGGGCACCACGGGGTGACCATCCCCTCCCCACCCAGCCCCACCCTCCCCACCCAGCCCCTCCCCACCCTCCCCTCCTCACCCAGCCCCTCCCTCTCCACCCAGCCCCTCCCCTCTCCACCCAGCCCCACCCCTCCCATTTTTGGATGCACGACGGACGGACAGACGGACAAAATATCCCTTGTGGGCTGGTGTAACCAGGAAGTTCCTACCAGTATAAAAACTTTGGATAGGTAAAGGACTGAAGTGTGTATTTATGTATTTAAGGGAAACTGAGCCCAATTAATCTCCCTCTGAATTGAAAGACGGTGATGACCAATCTTGGAGTAAATATCACAATGATAAGTAGAATATCTTCTTGGTTCTTTCGGTAAAGTCACGTAGAAGGGAAGTAATAAAATAATAAAAATAAAACATAATAAAATAATTCTCACGACGTTTCGGCCACAACGCAAGCAGCCGTCCTCAGGTGAAAATCAGGTCTGTCGGGGAGACAGCGTCTGAATGAAACAGCACACGAGCTTGGAGCATATATATAGGCTGGTTTGGAAGGGGGGGAAAGGGCGCTTCGACAAAAGAATTTGCATATCAAGAGGAATTTAGCATATTTATGGGAAATGCAGGAATGTCATTAGTACTACATATGCCCGTGCATTATGCAGGACTAGCAGCATCAAAGGGAGGGGATATGGGAAATGCAGGTATGTGAATACTGTAGTACTAATTATGCCCGTGCATTATGCAGGATTAGCAGCATCAGAGGGAGGGGATAGGGGTAGCATTAATAAAGGGAAGGAGTGTTAATAGTATGTAGCTGCAGTAATTAAAACCAACACGTAAACAACTAAAGTATGAACTACATAGTATCATCAGTATACTAACTATACTCTACAATAAGCTGAGTTACTAACAGTAAGTAATACATTACAATTCTACGTCGTAAAAATTATATAATATGCTTCAATCTAAACTTTATTCTCTTACATCACACGAGTCTACACCGTACTATATACTGCCATAGACAAACCCAACATTAAATTATATACTGTATTGCTATAAACCATATGCATTGTAATATTACACTATGTATTATTCTACCCACCCTAATGTATATCACACTGTATAAGGTATAGGGTGGTTTATAGCAATACAGTATATAATATAATGTATGGTTTTTGTATGGTAGTATATAGTACGGTGTAGACTCGTGTGATGTAAGAGAATAAAGTTTAGATGGAAGCATATTATATAATTTTTACGACGTAGAATTGTAATGTATTACTTACTGTTAGTAACTCAGCTTATTGTAGAGTATAGTTAGTATACTGATGATACTATGTAGTTCATACTTTAGTTGTTTACGTGTTGGTTTTAGTTACTGCAGCTACATACTATTAACACTCCTTCCCTTTATTAATGCTACCCCTATCCCCTCCCTTTGATGCTGCTAATCCTGCATAATGCACGGGCATAATTAGTACTACAGTATTCACATACCTGCATTTCCCATATCCCCTCCCTTTGATGCTGCTAGTCCTGCATAATGCACGGGCATATGTAGTACTAATCACATTCCTGCATTTCCCATAAATATGCTAAATTCCTCTTGATATGCAAATTCTTTTGTCGAAGCGCCCTTTCCCCCCCTTCCAACCCAGCTTATATATATGCTCCAAGCTCGTGTGCTGTTTCATTCAGACGCTGTCTCCCCGACAGACCTGATTTTCACCTGAGGACGGCTGCTTGCGTTGTAGCCGAAACGTCGTGAGAATTATTTTATTATGTTTTATTTTCATTATTTTATTACTTCCCTTCTACGTGACTTTACCGAAATAACCAAGAAGATGAATCCCTGCAGTCACGAAAGCTTTAAATCGAAATATAAGTAGAATACTTAGCTTGTACGATAAAGCCAGAATCAGATGAAGGATATGGTTTAGCAAATGAAAGTGCTTTTAGAGGTTGATTTGCAGCTAAAGTGCCTTTGACCACCAGGTAGGGTGGAGATGATATTCCGCAGAAATAACAGAGATTCGGAACCATGCCTTTTTGTTGGTCCGGTAGCAGCACGAAATAGTGGTGTGTTTTTAGACAGACCATGAATGTTCAGATGTAAGATGGCCAAGCCAGAGCAATTAGTGAAGTCGGAAGCATTAAATAAAGAGGGAGGAAGAAACGGTATAGGCCCCGGGTTACATTCAATACCACCTATGAGTATGGGGAGC